TCCTCCTGCTTTAGCTGAGCTTCGCTTCCTTCTCCCTCTCACGATGGGAAGAGAGGGGGGAAGGGGGAGTGGTAAATAAATCTTAACGATGAGGAATACAGTCTACCGGCGTTTATCAATCCCGTTTCGGGTTGCGCCCCGCTTTTGACTCATATTCAGATTTGTGAACTCGTTTTGTATACCTACGTATGACTTGAGGTGGCTAGAGAGTGTACGACTCGGTACCTTTTTTACTTCCCGAATGGATCCGGTACTCTAAGCGACCCAGAGCGATCAAAGGCGGTGTTTGCCTGCAAACATAAGAATTTTGTTATAACTGCCAGATGCTAGTCATTCTTTTTAATGCATTCCGAAAAAGGCTTCAATTCCTCAGATTCCTAGGAACCATCCCCATATTTTATGAGATCCTAGGTAGAGATTCATATTTCCCAAACAGGAAATTGAACCTCTCACGGAAATGCCGCCTACATACTTATAAAAATGACTATAGCATCATGAAAATGTGTTTTCAACGGAAACTTGTCCTTACCCAAAAGAAATGGTGGGTTTTTGTACTGAGTTGATGCTGAGGATGATAAGAATTCCGGATTTTTCTTACAAACTCCTCTTATCTAAAATCATCTGACCTTTTATGCATTAATTGATTCTCCTCTCTGAGTTTAGCGCCTGTCAATTGTTTATATGATTGGCATCTCTGAGAGTTCAAAGACATCTTTTTGAAGAGATTGGTCTCAAAAGTACTTCCAAACGACTTGATTCCGAATGGTCTCTTTTTGACCCCAAGTTGAAGTATGAACTGTCCTAAACAATCATCTGTTCCCCCATCACTTCTATGAATCTCGTGTGTCAGTCAGATGTGGAAAAACTCAGCTCCTTGGAATTCCCATCGTAACCCTAGGTGTTGAAATATGTATAACAGCGGCAAGAAATTACAGACTGAACACCCTTTCTGACAATTAGGCAGAAAAAAAGGTGAAAAGTTCCGATGTACATCAGAGAAGAAGCGATGTCAAAGGAATGCCAAGATCGCTAGTCGTTTGCATGACAATGAACGTCCTGACAAGCGATGGTAATCGAAGGTTCCAAGGAGCAATCTGAACGAAAGAGTTATATACTGCTCTTATTGTGCCATTATTTGGACCTGGCCACTGAAATTTTTCATATCCGTCTTCTATCGCTTCACAGCTATTGTTGTCCGTATTTATGGTGACTCGGCGATTCCACCGCACTGCCTGAACCTTTTCAATACACTTATTTTCTGTGTTTTTTCGGTCTTCCCATGTGCAAAAGGTTCCTTCTCTATCCAGGACCTTGGCGGTAATGAAGGGAGATGGTTCGAATCTATCCAGGACCTTGGCGGTAATGATGGGAGGTGGTCTGATGCCAAGATTAGACAACTACATGAGAGAACTGACTGGGAGATTGGGTTGTAACTAGCTCAAAATTACCACGGTGATGAGCGGACACTTGACAATCTCGGAAATTCATGACGACGGCTTTGTGAAAGGCTCTGAGCTAGCAGGATGTATTTCAGTTGTGACTATTCTTTTACTGCTACGTTTTATCTTTTGATGATTATTAGGGTAAGAGTTTACCCAGAAGCCTGTATGCACTAACCTACTTTTATACTTCGCGTACTTGCTGCCGTCTGCTCGCTCGCCGAAAGCGGTAGGCGTTGGCAGTGAGAAGCGCGAGCAGAGAAACGTTTCTGGAAGCGAGTACTTGAATCTTGTTGACCCATGATGCAGTGGATACGGTAAACGTGTCGCCAGCAGCCGCGCGCGTTAGTATAAAGCGTCTGCAATGAATGCAAGGATTATTTGATCGGTGAGTGCTCTGCATGGCATCTCGCAGCAGTTCATCGAATGAACATACGAATCAACCAACAAACCTAATCCACCTAGGTGGAATCAGTAAATGGTTACTTATCGAATCAAGACGGGACCACGAACCAAGAACGACTGTAGAGGGAACTAATCGCATCAAACTAGCCTCCATCCCCCACCTCGTTCGTCTTCTGTAACATTTATTGGTTCCCGGCAACCAGAGCACATCAACGAAGAATTTTGAGCATGAAAAACGAAGCAAGTGATCAAGAAAAAAGTCCTCTAGCTGAAAATCATCAAGATGACGATGGCACAGATAAGAGTGACGCGGAAATTCGATGGCACTGGAACCGGTATATAATGCATGTATCTGTCCCGGCTAGTTTCTAGTATTTCCTTCACTTTTCTCAGCCTAACGCTTCTGCTCCATTTCCTAAAACTGTATTTTTTCCTGTAAACATCGTTAATGGAAATCGCATTAGTGATGTTTACAGAAATACTGCAAGCATATTTGGGCCGCATCGCGTGTGTATTGTGCACACGGCTGCGTTGCGGTTAGCCTGAGTACATGTGGTCAGTGAAGGAGACATTCTTTAGTTGTTCATAAACATCACCTGTATCACCTTTCGTCCCGTTGGTCATCGAATTCCTCGAGCAGGTGCCAGTAACGTCTCCAGGCAGAGTGCGCACGTAAGGGCGTTAAAACGCGCGCATGGAAGCGTCTAATCCCTGCCACTATAAACGTCACCTTAAACGCGCGGCACGCCATTCGGGTGTAATGTACCACGCCTTTTTCGATCAGATCTGTGCACGAAAGGGATGTCGACTGTTCGCGACTGTTGACTTGTACTGCGAACGCTGCAGCACTCAAACCAGAGGTGACTCAAGTTCAAAAAGACGACAGTTTTCCATTAATGTACTCTGCTTGTTCGTTGCTGAAGTTATTCAGAATTAAACGGATGGAGGTGCATCACCGTCCAAAGAATGGTGACTACTCACTTGTTTTTTGAGCTCTGACGTAAGGTGAACAATAATGGAAAGTTCAGATTGCGGGTACTTCCCTTCCCATCGAGAATGAAAACTTGACGTTCATTCGTTTTGCACCAGTAACCGAGCGCATTCATACTACCGAAGTCTTTACGTCGACACCGACATTTCGGAAATAGTGCGCTAACGTGAGACACCCAGACGGCTAGACACACTTAGGCATCAATACGGAACAAGCGCTCATATGCCTTCTTTTTCCTCCTCAATTTCTCATAGAATTTCTATCGCAAACCTAAATCTTCACCCCTGGTCTTCTTTCAGATCCTTCCCTGTACCGGCTTGGCCCATAAATCATCAATGTACGAGTTATCGATTGACAGCCGACGCCGGCGGAAAAACGTCGGCGCCGTACTATGAATGCACTCCCTGATATTGCCCTTGATGTCTCTACTACTGAACTCGCTATTTACGATTTTGGGTTTACCACATATTCATGCGATCGTATGCTGGCGACCTTTAATGATTACGGGCGATGATCAGGAAAGTTGATCGAGCAAGGACGTGACCTAATTGTTTGGGTTCAGCTATCGAACCATAAATGCTTAGCAATAGAGAGACTTCATTATGTTCATGATTCGGAATAATTTTCCTTCTTAGCAGTTTTCTTATCAATCTGACGAAAAAACTTTACCAGTGCCCTTGATTGACCTTATTTGCAACTTGCTTGTCACTGCAATCATAGCCGTGCTTTGAAGATCCTCCACACCGTTTTGTCACTGTTTGACAAACTTTATTTACTTCAGGCAGGTACAAACGTCCCTGATGAGTACACAAAGGGATTCACGTTTTCAGGTTAAAAGTTATTTTTTGCTATTTTCTTTTTTCACTTAACAATTCTTGCTTCGTTTATGGAAAAGTAATCATTTTGAAGGATGCTAGGATCGTGTGTGTAGAGTATATACTTGATCTTACTGTAAATTGGCCTTGGGACGTATTTGATTCTGTTTGACTTAGTAATTCTCGTGCTCGTTTAAGATCTATGGAAAGAAAATTGTCAAGGCCAAATGCCAATTTACAGATTACGATATTTTGATTTGGATACAACAGTAACGCATAATCAGTAGAGATCTTCAGAAGAAAAAGGTTAGGAACAAGAAAAGTGTACGGAATCCTTTCTAGAAATTTCGCGGTTTTTCTTTGTTTTGGTCAGCTGCAGGTTCTATCAAACTTTTCTTTTCGTTGAGTAAAGTAATATGTCCAAGGTTGGACTACTCATTGAGAGCTGTGTGCTTCCAAAAAAAGGAACGTTTCTGTATCTGTTAATCGGAAGCCTATAATAAATAAATATAATTTTAATTTCGAATTTCAACTATTTTCAAGATCATAAACATCACTCAAAAAATGTGTGAGTGTGGGATAAATGAAAAATAAAATAATCTCTTCAAAATGAAAAGCAACCTGTTTACTTTCAATACCTTATTTTTTATTTGAGGTCTAACACTTAACATATGAAGCAGGAGAGCCTTTTCATGTGTTGACCACAACCTTCAGCTTCCACAGCTAGAATCCCTTGAGTGGGTTACCACTAATGAGAGAAGAACGACTCGATTGAATCTCTGATTCTGATCTAGTACATTTTGTATATTGAGCCACCTCTCAGCTTTTGTGAAAACAGTTAACATACTCCATTTGGCCCTAGAATTTGAAAGATCGCGGCAGGCTATGATAAACAAATCATCTGTCACTTATAGTGTTTGCTTATAAGAAAGAATACGGTATTATTTTTCATAAAATGATTGTTATTTGAGCTTTTTGCTAATAGACTACCTTCTGTTTTCCGGTTTAACTAAAATCGATGGCTGGATTGCTCGGACAGTTTAAATGGCCACTATATTCATCAGTGGCCAAATAGACTGTGATGGTATAAATGTATGCGTCTAGGTACTAAAAGTTTCAGTAAAACAAACTTCTAACTGAATCGAATTGTAGCCCTACTCTGAAAGAAAAGTGTGGCCATCGTAAATATACAAGCGCACTCGAATAAGGGTTAAGAGAATCTGTTATTCGAGTCTTTTCTTATGAAGATAATGTGCTAGTGTAAGTTTTGCACTTAAGCAATGGGGACTTCTGTCTTACATCTGAAATTTTTAAGTAACAACAGTCATCAGCACTGAAGGAAACAGAATCATGAAAAAAAATCGTTTCCAGGTATTTAAAACCGAGCCTGACGACTCAGATGCTGAGACTCCTAGGAAGCAAAAAAGTGGAAGTGAACCGCCGCCTGCTAAAAATGTGATCGAACGTAAAGTCAGTTCCACAGGACGATTCATGGTGAGATTTAATAACGATAATTAACAGTAATGATGTGAAAATAGCGCTGAACATTGTTACTTAGTGGTCATCAGATTCATATTCGGCCAAAACACTCGTAATTTAACGGCTGCCAATAGGCTGAGCCTAGGAGACAGCTACAGAGCTCTACACCATTTTTTCTACCAGATTTCATGTCCATTTCCTCTCAACAGCTCATTCCTCTATTCTTTTATGACCGTAACATAATGCTCAAGTTCTTTTTTTTCAATTTTGGCTTTTTCCATGTGTGATTCTGCTATTAATACTTATTTATATGTACCTAATAGGTAGAGATGATTTGCTTTTTTTCGGAAATCATTGATCATTACACTAAAACATTTTGTACTCATCACCAAATTTCGATCCGCCATGTTATTCATCAGCGATCTTCCCAATTCGCTTTCTCGATGATTTTTTGATGAAATCGCTCTTGCCAGGTCATGTCCGATAACCCAAATGGAGTGGCGGATAGACCTACAGTTTTTGAACATCGGAGTACAGATGAAGACGATGCTTCCAAGGAGAATGGTATCCAGCCAAAAGAACAAGCAGCTCCACGGTCTAAAGGGGTGCGTTGAAAAGTGTCGCACTTTATTAAAAGTGACCTATTTGATTGATTGATTGGTTTGATTTGTATCGATTGAATGGACATAGACTAGACGTTATCAAGTTTCAACCCATACTAAGAATATCATATTTTCAGCATTCCCATATAAATAGCGCTATCAAAGCTGTGAAAATGGGTAATAAGTTCAGTCTTGGTTGTCATGCCTACTGTTGCCTTTGGATACAACAGGGTCTACCTGCCAGCAGTGCGAAGTTAGTCTAAGACGATTAGGTTCCCGAAATTTCTATTGTTCCTGGCTTCCCACATTTTTCTCTATTGCGCCATCTAGGCAGCGGCTCACTTCAGAACTTCTTCCCAGTGACTCGTTTATGTTGATGCGAAGGTGATGTATGCTGGCTCACTTCAGAACTTCTTCCCAGTGACTCGTTTATGTTGATGCGAAGGTGATGTATGCTTGCACTATAGACGGGTTAAGATCTTGAGTAAAATCGAAAAAGACAACTGCAGTAATAACCTAGCCCATGCTAGAGAAGTGCAAAGAAAACAAGTTTTTCTGTTTGGCGAATACGACGAATATTTGTAAAACTAGCACAAAAGTAGAAAAGTCAATTTGCGTGGTCATAAGAATCTGTTCAGGTCCATTTTTCCGTGGGGGATAAGGAGCGAGACGACGACGATCCTAAACGGGAACAAGCCGAAACGAATACTACGATTAATCTGAAGAGCTGGCGGTGAGTATTCATTGCTAATCTTCCTTTGAGTGAAGCTTTAAGTTGTTTGTTACGTACCGGTCTGTGGCGTCAGTTGTTTTTATACTCCTATA